GCATCATATTATCAACAGTTTGTTGTCCAGTTTCTCCAAACAACTGCACCATTGGAGGCACTATCAACTTCGAAAAAATACATAAAATAATATTATTGATGGGCCCCTAAAATTATATTAGCTCCTGGGTCCCAGTAGGCTTAATCTGGTCCTGATTATACAACATTCAAAATGGCTAATGAGCTTCAAAAATCCAGAAATTGTGAATGTATATTGGATAAGAACACTTCAAGAGTACAACTTTGTTGTAAATATTACTGTTCAAATCCTCTACTAAAAACTGAGAAAGCCAATCATTATGTGCTGACCATTATTAATCACTTAACTAAGTGAGCTAGTTGTATATAGTTGTTTAAGCATTTGTTTAACAACACGTAAAAGCTTGGAATGGTCTATTCTCTCATTGGGGTGTGTGTCGGTGGGCCAGACTAGTTTCGGAGAATTCCACTCCTCATCAGTGACCCTGGATACTACCACCAATGAAATAGCGGACCAAACCAAGCGGAATGCTACAAGTTCTTCAAATACCTATAGAATGATAGGTTTCTTTTTTGTGACTATAAACACTTAAATACACCATTTCGATAAGTGAGCTAGTGTTTAGCCATTGGTTGTTAGTATAGTCGATTACAAGTATTTGATGAACAATGCATTTCATTCTTTGAAGCACTTGGATAGATCAACGTGAATTAATGAGCTAACTCCAATAGCCAGTTGTTTGCAGAGTCATACTCCGTGTTAGGTGTGATGGAAATGCACGCACAGTCATATACGTCTCAGTATGATGATTTGACTGTACAGGCTGTTAAATATATGTTTGCTAAGTTTGTTAACCTTCATTAAACTGACTACGATGAGCACCTACCACATGTCATGATAGTGTACCATGCAACTGAGCAACAAGTGAGTAGATACTTTTCAAACATTTTGATGTTTGTACAAGAAGTACAGCACAAATGTGTATGATGTATGGTCCTCCATCCAGTGCATATGTGTTGCAGTGCCAATACTAATGTGTAGAACGGCTGCTCTCTGCATTATTTGAAGCATGCTAATTTTCACACCAGTAAATGGGAAAAGCAGCTGTGCGTGCGTCAATAGAGATATTGATGCAAAACTTTAACAAAACAAAAGTTTAAACTTGGCGGATTAGACTATAATACCATCCAGCAGCACACAAACAATTCGTTTCTAGTTGGACATGCCAAAATCTCGTCTGTCTACGGCTCAAAGAGGTGAATAAGAGATACGTCAGTAGCATGACATATACATAGAAACTGAAGTTGTCAATAAGCTTACAGTCTACATCATTGATGAAACTCCAGGAAACAATGGTGGATAATAAGGTTGACTCTGGTGATGATAAGAGTAGAATATCGTATAATCTCATTTCAACTGAGAAGGAAGACACTAGTAGTAAATACCTGGCTATTCCTGGGTAGTCAGATCAGTAAATGTCACTGGAGGAGAAGACTAACTGCTCTGATGATTAGTCAAGACGTCAATGACGACGACCTAATTATTGTGGTAGTGATTAATCACTCTTACCAAGAGTTGGAATGGTCAGTAGTTTGAAAACTTAATAAATGAAAGGAGGTGGTATTCATTGCTTGCTGAGATAAGTGGTGGTTCTTGGTAAGATGTCATCAGGATGTTGGTTCCTGGTAAGATGTCATCAGGATGTTGTGTAATATCCACTTGATTAGTGTTCAGTTATGACAATTGATTGAGTAGTGGTTCCTGGTAAGATGTCATCAGGATGTTGGTTCCTGGTGACATCTTACCAGGAACCACTACTCAATCAATTGTCATAACTGTACACTAATCAAGTGGATATTACACAACATCCTGATGACATCTTACCAGGAACCACTACTCAATCAATTGTCATAACTGTACACTAATCAAGTGGATATTACACAACATCCTGATGACATCCTGTCAAGATGTTGGTTTATGGCAAGATGTTGTGTAATATCCATTTGATTAGTGTACAGTTATGACAGTTCAATGCAGGATCAGCAGCTGAAATAATATTGTAATTCTTAGTTTTTGAACTATCAAGCGATCTTTGCTCAGGTTAAGATTTGTTGGCAGACAGTTGCTGGTATAAATATTTTAAGAAGGACTTATAATCTTGAGTGTAAGTCGAGACGACTTTATGTTTTATCACCATGAAAAATTGCATCTGACTGTCTGTACCAGTCTTCTTCAAGTGTAGTAAGGAACTGTACTCTAATTCGTCGTCAAGAATGAACATGAGCTGTAAAGATCTGGTGTAATCTGTATAATTTTATTTTATGTTTATCTAGTGTAGTTTTATATGAACCCAATATAGCTGTACAGAAGAAACGAGCATAGCAAGTCATGCTAAATGCTCTGTTACGACAACAAAAATAATTTTATTGCCGTCTATTGTGTAACTGTATATATGTAAGTGTACTTTGTAGCTGACGACACGATGTGATATGGATGGATATTCAACTGGTCTTTTATGACATGTTTTAGTAGCTACATGTAGTTATAGTTCGTGTTGGCTAAATAAAAATAATTGTAATATTGTTTGTGAAATCAGGCATTTGTTTAAATGATGTTTAATTTATTTCAGGAAATAAGTTGGAATTTGTGTGATGTTTGAGTTTTTCCCTAGGATAAAAAGCAATTTCAATCAAAGATATAGAGAACCGGTTCTTCCTATACATCCCTCCCCCAGTAGACCTGGGTTCTGATAGAGCGACCAAATTATATACCCATTCCGGAGCTTTGTGGTCTGACTTTGGTTTTTAATGCTTAAACTTAAAGTTCGAATCTGGAAAGCCCTAAGATAAGGAAAGAAAGTATAATGATATTAATATCATCATATTTTATTCTTCTATAATTAATATAGACTATATTCAGGTTATTTTTCTACATTATCATGAAGTTGTTTTGCATGTGGTTATTGTCTATCCGTAAACCGGATGTAAAAAGGCCATAAACGTACATTAATCCTCTTGCTTTGGTAAAGGTTACGCACAGTATTGGCTGTCTGAAGGAAGCTTGCACAATCTGGACTCTCTGTTGTTGTCTATTCCTTTGGACATGATAACCTAATTTCAGGTGGCATTATAGATACCTGTAAAATGTAGTATGAGATAGGATGTTCTCCCCCTTTATATGTGCTATTTGGAATAGTCATTGAATTATGTAATCTAAGGATGGTTGGATACCGCACTAGGATCCTGGCCCGACTTGAATACGGTATTTAATTATTTTTCCTCCTGTTATTGCCACAACACCCAGTTCGTGTTATACTTTCAATCAGAAACTGGCCAGCTTGGTTTCACTAAAACTACTGTATTGTGAATACAAATTTGTTTTTATTCTTTTCACTTGTGCTTTTTGTCTTTATTTGCGGACCGTGTTCATTTAAATATCTTGCATAATATTTCTGGAACACACGTTTTGTGGATACCTGATTCCTATCTGTTAGACATGTGTACCATAATATTATACGGATAAGCAAATTGTACCTATAACACGAATTCTAGCTTATTCTATATCTGGAGTCAAATAAAATTGTCTCGGAGAAGAAAAATATCGTTTTAGATGTAGACATTAAAACTATAATTAAAGTAGATGATATCTGTTATTCAATCCTTTCATAATATAGACATGGAAAATAATATAAGAAACATGAAAACTACAACTTTCTTGGAAATTGTTACCTTTCCTGTAGAGACGGTGGAAGCGGGATCATCCAACTGGGTTTCGCACTACTATCCAATTCCGAGTCTGAGTCGCTGTTAAATATATCCAGTAGTAAATATATTGTTAACATTTTAATGATCACAATAACGTATGGAACTGTGAATTATGAAACTTCCGAATTCATTTAGGAGTTAATTATAGTGTTCATTTAAAGCTAAAGTTTATAACTTTCCTTTAAAAGTTTTTGTTAAATTAATCTTTCAAAATTGGATAAATGCATATGAAAGGTTTTCCCCTTAAGTAAGGGTTAATCATATATATATATATATATATATATATGTATATTGGGTTTGTTCGATTACAGTAGAGCTGATACATGTTCACGACGAGTTTAGACAAAGGTGACAAATGCAAAGTGAAGGGCCTTGCCCTGGCCTAGTGGTTAGGTCACTCGAGTCACAATCTGTGGTCACGGGATCGAGTCCCCGTCACCAAACATAATCACCCTTCCAGCTGTGGGGGGCATTATAACGTGACGGTCAGTCCCACTATTCGTTGGTAAAAGAGTAGCTCAAGAGTTGGCGTTGGGTATTGTTGTTTAGCTACATTTCCTGTAGTCTATCATTACTAAATTAGGTACGGCGAACACATATAGTTCACGAAAAGCTTTACGCGAAATTCAAAACAAAACACAGAGTGAAGCAAAATTTCAGGCTATGAATTGTGAATAAAATATTCATTACTCTTTTTCAGTACCAATGTTTAAATATAAATCCACTATGGAACTCCTGAATCTCTAGTTACTGTAGATTACGAGAAAAATAATATATTTATTTGCGTGTTGTTGTGCCCACGAATTTAAAAAAACAAACAATTATTTCAATCACAGGTCAAAATGTTTTACTTTCTCGTATTTATAACAACTATATTTCAGTGATTCTCACGTTTAATTCTATATATTATAATGCAATACGTAAACATCATATTTCAGCATGTTAAACTTTCATACATACCGTTTTGTTAGTTGCTCAGTGTCTTCTTTTCTTGAATGACGACCACTAACAAAATAAAGAATATATTTGAATTATATATATATATATACATCGTTATTTGCAATATAAGTTATGTTGTTTTTGTATAATCTTTACAGGCCGGCCATAACCTAGTGATGAACGTGACGGAATCTGATTATATGTTCGCGTCTCGTTTGTTGACCTGGGTATAGCAACTGTTAAGGAAGGCAACGGTAAACAGTCCTGTCCTCAACTATTATTTCCCATGACAGGTACAATGACTTCATTGTGACCGCTTATCCTCGCTTTTAATGGAGATTTGAAGATAAGCTAAAATAGATGAGAAGAAAACACATTGTTCTGAGAAGAACCGTGTGTTCGTAAATACATTTTGAGTTCGCTTTATGTTTACGAAATGTGATAAAGTATAAGCTGATACTCGTTCAATTAAATCTAAAAGTTGGTTTTTAGAAAGTAGAGATTATCTGTAGAAGATCAAAGAAACCTTCGGCATAATCCTTGCCTGACAAGTATTGGCTATACGTTCAGTGACCCTAGTAACAAGGAGGAGACATTTACCTAAGAATACTTTTTGATATATTTAATTTACTACCAAAATGTTTCTTTATACCTTTCACCTGTCTTTAATATAGAATAAACGAAGTTTTTCTAAGTATAATCAAGCACACAGTTACCTGGACTTCGCAATAACAAGAGACCTAGTATGTGGAAGGGCAAGTGCGAATAAAACAAACAAAAAATAGATAGGACTTGATATGAAATAGAAACAAAAATATAAATTTTATCCCTTGAAAACTGATCGTTCGGTGTTTAGGAACTGTTAAATTGTAGGTTAAAGTAAAAGAATTAAATTGGGTTGAAAATTTAAAATAAAGATGAGATTATTGGCAGTGATACAAGATAAAACTGGAGATTGTTGGCAGTGATACAAGATACAACTGGAGATTGTTGCCAGTGTTAATGATACAAGAAATAGCTGTACATTATTGGCAGTGTTGATAATACAAGAAATAGCTGTACATTATTGGCAGTGTTAATGATATAAGAAATAGCTGTACATTATTGACAGTGTTAATGATATAAGAAATAGCTGTACATTATTGGCAGTGTTAATGATACAAGAAATAGCTGTACATTATTGGCAGTGTTAATAATACAAGAAATAGCTGTACATTATTGGCAGTGTTGATAATACAAGAAATAGTTGTACATTATTGGC